CGGAGTCCTCAAAGTCTTCCTGGAAAACGTTATCCGTGATGCTGTGACTTACACCGAACACGCCAAACGGAAGACCGTTACCGCAATGGATGTGGTCTACGCCCTTAAACGCCAAGGCCGTACCCTATACGGTTTTGGCGGGTGAAAATCACGGAAACCTCAGAGAACTGATAAACGGCTCCTTTAGGAGCCACCACCTCATGCGAAAGTCGTGATCAGCCACAGTGATGGTCAAACCCTGTGTTTGAACAACGAGTCAAAAGGGCGATATTTTTCTGCTCTCAACGTTTCTCCTAATCCTTGTGTTAGCGTTAATGCAGTGTAACTCGAGTCGCTTGTCGTGGTGTGCCAAATAGTCTCTCGTTCCAACAGGGAACTGGGATGGCAGGAAATAGGAAGTAGTAAATTGGGTTTCAAAAGCCGTGCAAAGCTGGGTTCAGCGAACGTTCTACTCAAATTCTATTACGTTTCCACGCAATGGAACCACGCGTGATCGCACCGTTCTCCAAGTACGTTAGTTCTGATCATTAACACATTTCATTAACACACACATTTCGAGTCGCTTGTCTTGCTATGCAAAATTAGCCCCAAAAAAGCCCCAATAAAAATAGCCCCAATAAAAGTACCTCGTTCCTTATTGGAACAGGGGATGGCAAGAATAGAAAAAATTAAAGCGGGTTTGCAACAACCACGCAAACTTGTGATCAGCGATCGTACCATTCAAACTCAAATGCGTTTCTCTGTCTTGACAGGTAGGAAAGCAGTTTATGCAATTCGCAAATTCCACACTCCAACAATTGAAAGAGAGAGAGAAAAAGAGCGGGCTGCAAATGTGTCGAGGCATTTTGCAAATCAAATTACCGTCGTCCAACCAAACGAAAGGAAAACAAAGTCGCCGGCAATGTTTCCAAAAAAAAACCAAAGCTGATTTGAATTGTCTTTCATTCCGTCTGTTTGATTTTTATTTGCTTTTTATTTCTTTTACTAGTTTGGGATCAAAAATACGGAATGTAAGCGATGGACACTAGCTGAACTGAAACGATTTGTTTTGATCGATAACAAAGTAAAGACGCGAGCGCTTGTGTGTGCATGTACGAGTGTCAATTGGAGTAAATGGATTTTTCACTGATCACGACTTTTTCGAGGTTTGGTGGCTCCTAAAGGAGCCGTTTTATGGTTTGATGTTGTCAATGGTGCTTCTTCTCGGCCTTCTTGGGTAGCAGCACGGCCTGTATGTTGGGAAGAACACCGCCCTGGGCGATCGTTACACCAGCTAGAAGTTTGTTCAATTCCTCGTCGTTTCGGACGGCCAACTGCAGGTGTCTGGGAATGATTCTGGTCTTCTTGTTGTCACGAGCGGCGTTTCCGGCTAACTCTAAATTTCAGCACTTAGATACTCGAGCACAGCGGCCAAGTACACAGGAGCACCCGCCCCGACACGCTCTGCATAGTTTCCTTTGCGAAGGAGTCGGTGGATGCGGCCGACTGGAAACTGAAGACCTGCTCGGCTGGACCTGCTCTTTGCCTTGGTGCCCGACGCTTTTCCTTTCCCTCGGCCGGTCATTTTAGTTTTCTCTCTCGCAAACTAGCTCGTGCTAGGACACACACTGAAATCCAACGATTTTGTTGTTCAAATTGTGACGCGTTCCGAGTCGTGACGCCGTACTTATCTCGCGGCTCGCGCGCGCTAAAGGATCGAAACCCTCAATCAAAATTAATTCCGCCCTCTGTTGCCTCGTAGTCTTTTGTTCCTTTCACAGCTGTATCTGAGCCAATCGCTTCAAAGAGAATTTTCGTCGGCATACTAATTGATCCTCAACAATGGACCTTAAATAGGGGTCAATTCTCCTGTCTAGTCACACACCTCAGTCTATTTTTTGAGCGAACGGTGATAGATTTTTCTAGACATGGCACCAAAAGTTCCCGCGGCCGGAAAAGGCGAGAAGAGAGCCGGCAAGGCTAAATCAGCCCCGACGGACCCTGGCAAGAAAAAAAAGAAGAGAAGCAAGAGAAAGGAGAGCTATGCGATCTACATCTACAAAGTGTTGAAACAGGTGCACCCCGACACCGGTATCTCCAGCAAAGCCATGGGTATCATGAACTCGTTTGTCAACGATGTCTTTGAACGCATCGCGACCGAATCCTCGCGGCTCGCGCACTACAACAAGAAATCCACCATCAGCTCTCGCGAAATCCAGACCGCCATTAGGGTTACTGTTACCGGGCGAACTCGCAAAACACGCAGTAAGCGAGGGTACAAAAGCAGTCACCAAATATACAAGCAGCAAGTGAACTGCCCGACCTCACAAACAAACGGCTCCTTTAGGAGCCAACACATCATGAAAGTAAATGTCCAACATTGTTGTTGTTTTTTTGTTGTTGTTGTTGTTGTTGTTCTTGTTCTTGTTCTTGTTCTTGTTGTTGTTCTTGTTCTTGTTGTTGTTCTTGTTCTTGTTGTTGTTCTTGTTCTTGTTCTTGTTCTTGTTGTTGTTCTTGTTCTTGTTCTTGTTCTTGTTCTTGTTCTTGTTCTTGTTTTTCTTTCTTTCTTTCTTTCTTTCTTTCTTTCTTTCTTTCCTTTTTTCTTTCTTTCCTTTTTTTTTTCGGGTACGTAAATGTTGGAGCTCAAAGCAGATCGATCAGGAAGGAACTCTAAAAATACTTCTCGCCAAAAAGTTTTTGACCGATTTCCCTTTCACTGTTCACAGATTTGGTGCCAAAGCGAGAACTGTTTTTAGACTTACTAAAATTTCTTCCGAATGAAATCAAGAATTCCCGACCCAAAAAAAATTTTATATTTCCCAGAATGCATTGCGAAAAAAAGCCTCATTAATATGTATTACATCCTTCCCCAGTTGTTGTTGTTCTTTCTTTCCATTTCGAATCTCTGATTTTTATTCAGTCAAACTCAGTTTCAGTGAACATGTTTTGCTGGTGCGAATGAGTTATTAATCTAGTACAAAAGGCAGGTGCATGGGGGCGTATCCGTTGGTAATAGCTAACTTGCTTTTGGCAAGTAAGGAACATGAAAAGGCAACAACATTGAATTAAAAGTCGGAACCAATTATACGAACGACTGAAAGCGCAATTGGAGACCTTTATGTTTGTCTGGTACAAACAAACACACGCTGTTACCGAACGGTAATAACGTAGAGATTGAGGTAATTGCGCCTGCTTAAAAAAGGGCTCTTGTTCTTGTTCTTTGTTTTTTTTTTTTTTTTTTATTTTTGTTTTTTTTTTTTGCCAAGTAAGGAACAAGAAAAAGACAGCGGCAATGAATTGAAACGTCGTTACAAATTATACGAACGGCTGAAAGCGCAAAATGGTGACCTTTATGTTTGTCTAGTTCGAGCAAACTCACGGAAAACGCATCAAAACAGTTGACCTCCGTCGCTGCTCACTTTCTGTCAAATTTTTGTCGCGAATCAAACCGAGAGTCGATCGCTCGCTTTTTGTCTACGTCGACATTTTTTTTTGCAGAGGCAGGTCACCTTTGGAGATGTGGTCATTGATTTTCTCTGTTGCTTCATGACAATAATGCGAGTTTTTCACTCACGTAACAAAAACCACGAAAATGAAACAACAACCACAACAAAACGAAACAGAACACACACAGAAAAATTAAAGACGTGCGAAAGGAGATGGGCTGCTCATTGACCTTTAGGTTAGTGGTGGCTCCTAAAGGAGCCGTTAGTGTTTGTTCGATGACCAAGCGACTGTACTAAGCCCGCTCGCCACGAATCCTTCGAGCCAACTGGATATCCTTCGGCATGATGGTTACGCGTTTGGCGTGGATGGCGCACAGATTGGTATCTTCGAACAGACCCACCAAGTAAGCTTCGCTAGCCTCTTGGAGCGCTAGTACAGCGGAACTTTGGAATCGCAGATCGGTTTTGAAATCCTGCGCGATCTCCCGCACAAGCCGTTGAAAGGGCAACTTGCGGATAAGTAACTCCGTAGACTTCTGATAACGACGGATTTCACGGAGTGCAACTGTGCCTGGTCTGTAACGGTGAGGTTTCTTCACGCCACCCGTAGCGGGAGCACTCTTGCGGGCCGCCTTAGTGGCTAACTGTTTACGAGGAGCTTTTCCACCTGTTGATTTCCGGGCGGTTTGCTTGGTACGAGCCATAGCTAACAAGATTGGAGGCTTCAGTCTCGTAATTTCTTCAGAAATTTTACGCTTTTCTCGCGATCTCCTGTGACAAAACCGATTTTATAACAAGCGCTCAACGATCCGATTGGTTATCCAAAGTTTGCTTGTGATTGGCTGCGGTGAATTTCTTTGTTCGGGTACTCTTTTTTTTTTTTTTCCGAGGATGAGGCGGAAAGTAAATTTTAGTAAACTCTGACCTGCAACTTTTCTCAAAACTGCCCTCGGTTTTCAGTCGCTCGCTTTCGGTGAGTACTCTCGAAAAAGTAATAAACTAATTAGTGAGTGAGTGAGTGAGTGAGTGAGTGAGACTGAATTTGACCATGGATTACTTTGAAGGTTGTGAGTCATTTTCGCTATCCTTTAGCGTGGCCGTGTAGATAGGTGATAATGGTATTCATAAGTCGGCATTTGGCCTGGCTTTCTTGTCAATTGGAAATGTGACGTTTCCCGAGAGGTCCAGCCACACATCTCAAGTTTTGTTCAGGGCCGACAACAATTGCATCCGTAACATTCGAAAGAAAAAAACAAATCATGTCTGGACGCGGCAAAGGAGGTAAAGGGCTTGGAAAAGGAGGCGCCAAGCGCCATCGAAAGATTCTGCGAGACAACATCCAGGGAATCACCAAGCCAGCAATCCGACGTCTGGCTCGCCGCGGTGGTGTCAAGCGTATTTCCGGGCTCATTTACGAAGAGACCCGCGGAGTCCTCAAAGTCTTCCTGGAAAACGTTATCCGTGATGCTGTGACTTACACCGAACACGCCAAACGGAAGACCGTTACCGCAATGGATGTGGTCTACGCCCTTAAACGCCAAGGCCGTACCCTATACGGTTTTGGCGGGTAGAGAATCACGGAAACCTCAGAGAACTGATAAACGGCTCCTTTAGGAGCCACCACCTCATGCGAAAGTCGTGATCAGCCACAGTGATGGTCAAACCCTGTGTTTGAACAACGAGTCAAAGGGCGATATTTTTCTGCTCTCAACGTTTCTCCTAATCCTTGTGTTAGCGTTAATGCAGTGTAACTCGAGTCGCTTGTCGTGGTGTGCCAAATAGTCTCTCGTTCCAACAGGGAACTGGGATGGCAGGAAATAGGAAGTAGTAAATTGGGTTTCAAAAGCCGTGCAAAGCTGGGTTCAGCGAACGTTCTACTCAAATTCTATTACGTTTCCACGCAATGGAACCACGCGTGATCGCACCGTTCTCCAAGTACGTTAGTTCTGATCATTAACACATTTCATTAACACACACATTTCGAGTCGCTTGTCTTGCTATGCAAAATTAGCCCCAAAAAGCCCCAATAAAAATAGCCCCAATAAAAAGTACCTCGTTCCTTATTGGAACGGGGATGGCAAGAATAGAAAAGATTAAAGCGGGTTTGCAACAACCACGCAAACTTGTGATCAGCGATCGTACCATTCAAACTCAAATGCGTTTCTCTGTCTTGACAGGTAGGAAAGCAGTTTATGCAATTCGCAAATTCCACACTCCAACAATTGAAAGAGAGAGAGACAAGAGCGGGCTGCAAATGTGTCGAGGCATTTTGCAAATCAAATTACCGTCGTCCAACCAAACGAAAGGAAAACAAAGTCGCCGGCAATGTTTCCAAAAAAAACAAGCTGATTTGAATTGTCTTTCATTCCGTCTGTTTGATTTTTATTTGCTTTTTATTTCTTTTACTAGTTTGGGATCAAAAATACGGAATGTAAGCGATGGACACTAGCTGAACTGAAACGATTTGTTTTGATCGATAACAAAGTAAAGACGCGAGCGCTTGTGTGTGCATGTACGAGTGTCAATTGGAGTAAATGGATTTTTTCACTGATCACGACTTTTTCGAGGTTTGGGTGGCTCCTAAAGGAGCCGTTTTATGGTTTGATGTTGTCAATGGTGCTTCTTCTCGGCCTTCTTGGGTAGCAGCACGGCCTGTATGTTGGGAAGAACACCGCCCTGGGCGATCGTTACACCAGCTAGAAGTTTGTTCAATTCCTCGTCGTTTCGGACGGCCAACTGCAGGTGTCTGGGAATGATTCTGGTCTTCTTGTTGTCACGAGCGGCGTTTCCGGCTAACTCTAGAATTTCAGCACTTAGATACTCGAGCACAGCGGCCAAGTACACGGGAGCACCCGCCCCGACACGCTCTGCATAGTTTCCTTTGCGAAGGAGTCGGTGGATGCGGCCGACTGGAAACTGAAGACCTGCTCGGCTGGACCTGCTCTTTGCCTTGGTGCCCGACGCTTTTCCTTTCCCTCGGCCGGTCATTTTAGTTTTCTCTCTCGCAAACTAGCTCGTGCTAGGACACACACTGAAATCCAACGATTTTGTTGTTCAAATTGTGACGCGTTCCGAGTCGTGACGCCGTACTTATCTCGCGGCTCGCGCGCGCTAAGGGATCGAAACCCTCAATCAAAATTAATTCCGCCCTCTGTTGCCTCGTAGTCTTTTGTTCCTTTCACAGCTGTATCTGAGCCAATCGCTTCAAAGAGAATTTTCGTCGGCATACTAATTGATCCTCAACAATGGACCTTAAATAGGGAGTCAATTCTCCTGTCTAGTCACACACCTCAGTCTATTTTTGAGCGAACGGTGATAGATTTTTCTAGACATGGCACCAAAAGTTCCCGCGGCCGGAAAAGGCGAGAAGAGAGCCGGCAAGGCTAAATCAGCCCCGACGGACCCTGGCAAGAAAAAGAAGAGAAGCAAGAGAAAGGAGAGCTATGCGATCTACATCTACAAAGTGTTGAAACAGGTGCACCCCGACACCGGTATCTCCAGCAAAGCCATGGGTATCATGAACTCGTTTGTCAACGATGTCTTTGAACGCATCGCGACCGAATCCTCGCGGCTCGCGCACTACAACAAGAAATCCACCATCAGCTCTCGCGAAATCCAGACCGCCATTAGGTTACTGTTACCGGGCGAACTCGCAAAACACGCAGTAAGCGAGGGTACAAAAGCAGTCACCAAATATACAAGCAGCAAGTGAACTGCCCGACCTCACAAACAAACGGCTCCTTTAGGAGCCAACACATGTCATGAAAGTAAATGTCCAACATTGTTGTTGTTTTTGTTGTTGTTGTTGTTCTTGTTCTTGTTCTTGTTCTTGTTCTTGTTCTTGTTCTTGTTCTTGTTCTTGTTCTTGTTCTTGTTCTTGTTCTTGTTCTTCTTGTTCTTGTTCTTGTTCTTGTTCTTGTTCTTGTTCTTGTTCTTGTTCTTGTTCTTGTTCTTGTTCTTGTTCTTGTTTTTCTTTCTTTCTTTCTTTCTTTTTCTTTCTTTCTTTCTTTCTTTCTTTCTTTTATTTTTTTTTTCCTTTTTTTTCGAGGTACGTAAATGTTGGAGCTCGAAGCAGATCGATCAGGAAGGAACTCTAAAATACTTCTCGCCAAAAACAGTTTTGACCGATTTCCCTTTCACTGTTCACAGATTTGGTGCCAAAGCGAGAACTGTTTTTAGACTTACTAAAATTTCTTCCGAATGAAATCAAGAATTCCCGACCCAAAAAAAAATTTTATATTTCCCAGAATGCATTGCGAAAAAAAGCCTCATTAATATGTATTACATCCTTCCCCAGTTGTTGTTGTTCTTTCTTTCTATTTCGAATCTCTGATTTTTATTCAGTCAAACTCAGTTTCAGTGAACATGTTTTGCTGGTGCGAATGAGTTATTAATCTAGTACAAAAAAGCAGGTGCATGGGGGCGTATCCGTTGGTAATAACTAACTTGCTTTTGGCAAGTAAAGGAACATGAAAAGGCAACAACATTGAATTAAAAGTCGGAACCAATTATACGAACGACTGAAAGCGCAATTGGAGACCTTTATGTTTGTCTGGTACAAACAAACACACGCTGTTACCGAACGGTAATAACGTAGAGATTGAGGTAATTGCGCCTGCTTAAAAAGAGGCTCTTGTTCTTGTTCTTTGTTTTTTTTTTGTTTTTTTTTGTTTTTTTTTTGCCAAGTAAGGAACAAGAAAAGACAGCGGCAATGAATTGAAACGTCGTTACAAATTATACGAACGGCTGAAAGCGCAAAATGGTGACCTTTATGTTTGTCTAGTTCGAGCAAACTCACGGAAAACGCATCAAAACAGTTGACCTCCGTCGCTGCTCACTTTCTGTCAAATTTTTGTCGCGAATCAAACCGAGAGTCGATCGCTCGCTTTTTGTCTACGTCGACATTTTTTCTGCAGAGGCAGGTCACCTTTGGAGATGTGGTCATTGATTTTCTCTGTTGCTTCATGACAATAATGCGAGTTTTTCACTCACGTAACAAAAACCACGAAAATGAAACAACAACCACAACAAAACGAAACAGAACACACACAGAAAAATTAAAGACGTGCGAAAGGAGATGGGCTGCTCATTGACCTTTAGGTTAGTGGTGGCTCCTAAAGGAGCCGTTAGTGTTTGTTCGATGACCAAGCGACTGTACTAAGCCCGCTCGCCACGAATCCTTCGAGCCAACTGGATATCCTTCGGCATGATGGTTACGCGTTTGGCGTGGATGGCGCACAGATTGGTATCTTCGAACAGACCCACCAAGTAAGCTTCGCTAGCCTCTTGGAGCGCTAGTACAGCGGAACTTTGGAATCGCAGATCGGTTTTGAAATCCTGCGCGATCTCCCGCACAAAGCCGTTGAAAGGGCAACTTGCGGATAAGTAACTCCGTAGACTTCTGATAACGACGGATTTCACGGAGTGCAACTGTGCCTGGTCTGTAACGGTGAGGTTTCTTCACGCCACCCGTAGCGGGAGCACTCTTGCGGGCCGCCTTAGTGGCTAACTGTTTACGAGGAGCTTTTCCACCTGTTGATTTCCGGGCGGTTTGCTTGGTACGAGCCATAGCTAACAAGATTGGAGGCTTCAGTCTCGTAATTTCTTCAGAAATTTTACGCTTTTCTCGCGATCTCCTGTGACAAAACCGATTTTATAACAAGCGCTCAACGATCCGATTGGTTATCCAAAGTTTGCTTGTGATTGGCTGCGGTGAATTTCTTTGTTCGGGTACTCTTTTTTTTTTTTTCCGAGGATGAGGCGGAAAGTAAATTTTAGTAAACTCTGACCTGCAACTTTTCTCAAAACTGCCCTCGGTTTTCAGTCGCTCGCTTTCGGTGAGTACTCTCGAAAAAGTAATAAACTAATTAGTGAGTGAGTGAGTGAGTGAGTGACTGAATTTGACCATGGATTACTTTGAAGGTTGTGAGTCATTTTCGCTATCCTTTAGCGTGGCCGTGTAGATAGGTGATAATGGTATTCATAAGTCGGCATTTGGCCTGGCTTTCTTGTCAATTGGAAATGTGACGTTTCCCGAGAGGTCCAGCCACACATCTCAAGTTTTGTTCAGGGCCGACAACAATTGCATCCGTAACATTCGAAAGAAAAAAAAAATCATGTCTGGACGCGGCAAAGGAGGTAAAGGGCTTGGAAAAGGAGGCGCCAAGCGCCATCGAAAGATTCTGCGAGACAACATCCAGGGAATCACCAAGCCAGCAATCCGACGTCTGGCTCGCCGCGGTGGTGTCAAGCGTATTTCCGGGCTCATTTACGAAGAGACCCGCGGAGTCCTCAAAGTCTTCCTGGAAAACGTTATCCGTGATGCTGTGACTTACACCGAACACGCCAAACGGAAGACCGTTACCGCAATGGATGTGGTCTACGCCCTTAAACGCCAAGGCCGTACCCTATACGGTTTTGGCGGGTAGAGAATCACGGAAACCTCAGAGAACTGATAAACGGCTCCTTTAGGAGCCACCACCTCATGCGAAAGTCGTGATCAGCCACAGTGATGGTCAAACCCTGTGTTTGAACAACGAGTCAAAGGGCGATATTTTTCTGCTCTCAACGTTTCTCCTAATCCTTGTGTTAGCGTTAATGCAGTGTAACTCGAGTCGCTTGTCGTGGTGTGCCAAATAGTCTCTCGTTCCAACAGGGAACTGGGATGGCAGGAAATAGGAAGTAGTAAATTGGGTTTCAAAAGCCGTGCAAAGCTGGGTTCAGCGAACGTTCTACTCAAATTCTATTACGTTTCCACGCAATGGAACCACGCGTGATCGCACCGTTCTCCAAGTACGTTAGTTCTGATCATTAACACATTTCATTAACACACACATTTCGAGTCGCTTGTCTTGCTATGCAAAATTAGCCCCAAAAAAGCCCCAATAAAAATAGCCCCAATAAAAGTACCTCGTTCCTTATTGGAACGGGGATGGCAAGGAATAGAAAAGATTAAAGCGGGTTTGCAACAACCACGCAAACTTGTGATCAGCGATCGTACCATTCAAACTCAAATGCGTTTCTCTGTCTTGACAGGTAGGAAAGCAGTTTATGCAATTCGCAAATTCCACACTCCAACAATTGAAAGAGAGAGAGAAAGAGCGGGCTGCAAATGTGTCGAGGCATTTTGCAAATCAAATTACCGTCGTCCAACCAAACGAAAGGAAAACAAAGTCGCCGGCAATGTTTCCAAAAAAAAAAAAACCAAAGCTGATTTGAATTGTCTTTCATTCCGTCTGTTTGATTTTTATTTGCTTTTTATTTCTTTTACTAGTTTGGGATCAAAAATACGGAATGTAAGCGATGGACACTAGCTGAACTGAAACGATTTGTTTTGATCGATAACAAAGTAAAGACGCGAGCGCTTGTGTGTGCATGTACGAGTGTCAATTGGAGTAAATGGATTTTTCACTGATCACGACTTTTTCGAGGTTTGGTGGCTCCTAAAGGAGCCGTTTTATGGTTTGATGTTGTCAATGGTGCTTCTTCTCGGCCTTCTTGGGTAGCAGCACGGCCTGTATGTTGGGAAGAACACCGCCCTGGGCGATCGTTACACCAGCTAGAAGTTTGTTCAATTCCTCGTCGTTTCGGACGGCCAACTGCAGGTGTCTGGGAATGATTCTGGTCTTCTTGTTGTCACGAGCGGCGTTTCCGGCTAACTCTAGAATTTCAGCACTTAGATACTCGAGCACAGCGGCCAAGTACACGGGAGCACCCGCCCCGACACGCTCTGCATAGTTTCCTTTGCGAAGGAGTCGGTGGATGCGGCCGACTGGAAACTGAAGACCTGCTCGGCTGGACCTGCTCTTTGCCTTGGTGCCCGACGCTTTTCCTTTCCCTCGGCCGGTCATTTTAGTTTTCTCTCTCGCAAACTAGCTCGTGCTAGGACACACACTGAAATCCAACGATTTTGTTGTTCAAATTGTGACGCGTTCCGAGTCGTGACGCCGTACTTATCTCGCGGCTCGCGCGCGCTAAGGGATCGAAAC